AGCTTTCCTCTTGGAAGCACCTTGAGAACCTGTAGTCCGTTCTTTTGAATATCCTAAATGGTGCCAAATCTTCATTGAGAGTGGATTCGATTTTTAGAAAAGGCCAAAAGTCAGAGCCAAGTATAGTGAATAAGATGTGTGATCAAACTAGGTGGAACTAGTTTGGTTCAAAATGATTTATGAATATAAAACAATGAGATGGGTTTTCTTATATGATTTGTAAACTGACTTTAAAGGGAATTCCAGATGGGTAACAAGAAGTATGAGCAATGGAACTGGTAATATATATTCTTTTTCCCCCAAATAACTTCTTTGAGTAACAATACTCATTTTGGTGTATAAGCTCCCACATAAGTTTTGCTTTGTTAATTACTTACAACTCATAAACAGAAGACTCCTTAGCATATTGGATCTCCTGTGTCATGGGGGAAAGAAGCTTTCACTAAGCAAGAGAGGTAGCAAGGCGCATAGGAAAGAGCACAGACTTCAGAAGGAGACGTACCTGGATTAGAATCCTAATTTGGCCCCTTTCTGCTTGTACAACTTTAGGGAAGTCGCAAGCCCTCTACAACTCTAAAATAGGGTTAATATCTAACTTGTAGACTTGTTGTAACAATTAGCAGTAATGTACGCAAAGCACCTACGTTGTATCTGGCACATAGTAGGTACTCAATAAGTCACAGTTATTATTAATAACCTCAGTAAAATCAGTACACTATTCTGACTGTAGGTGGCTTGATATGACAGAACAACAGATAAAGTCACTTGGGCAGTGAGTAATTCATTGACAGTACCGACAATACACTCATACTGATGGATTATTGCCTTTTTGAAAACAATAATCTTTGAAAAATATTTGTAGGAACAAACACTATATATTTTTAAATCACATGTGGTCAACTGCAGTGCTCCTACCACAATGACCTCTTCACCACGGTCTGAACATACCAGGCCCTTCCATGCTATTCTAAGATGCCTTTCCTGTCTTCTAGTCTGACAAAAAGCTTACAATTATCCTTCAAAATCTACCTCAAAAGTCACTTCCACTATGGAATCTTCCCTGCTTGCCGTAGACAGAATTAGTGACTCTGTCCTTTGTATTCCCAAAGTATTTGGCTCCTGTCTCTGAAATGCCTCATACTGTGTTGAATTTTAATTTATATTTCCATTTGTGCTTCTTCCACTAGGCTTGAGCACTGAGAGAAGAACTATATTCCATTTATTTTTGTAGTTAGAGCACCCAGCACATATCTTAGCACATGGTAGGAACCCAGGAGATATTTGATGAGTGAATGTTTTAAATGCACTTTGCAAACTACTGTTAAAGGCCAGGTAGCTGCCTTTAGTGAACTATTACCAGTAATCATTCATTTTTCTTGACTTCAAACAAGACACACAAAAACTTACATAGACTCCAGAATGGCTTTATAAGAGGCAACATATATGTTTCTAAACACTATTGATCTCATCGGTACCCCAAGCCCACATGACAGAACCCCCATAGCAATGTTTCTCAGCCTTTCTTCCAGTCCAGCACACGTGAGGGATGTACCATACTCCCATCAGGAGCTCACTGTGGATAACTCAGAAAGCTCAGCAGAGTTCTCACAGCCTTCCAGCGCTGCCTAGCTAGCAGGGGAGAAGGGCATTCTCTGAGCCAGCAAAACTCCATCAAGGTAACAGAAAATCTCAAGGCTCTGTGGTGTGGGCAGGGTGCCTGCCTAATGCCACCTACTCCCAGATCCCAACCTCCCAGGAATGCCTTGGAATCAGTATGTATAGGGCTCCTTCACTGTTAGGAAGCCTCAGGCATTCAAGGAAGGACTAATTGGTGGGTCCAGTACATCTGTTTCAGCATGCCTTAACCTGTGTAACTAAAGAGCAATTATGAAAAGAAGTTCACGATCAACCAGTTCTGTGCCAGATGGAAATAGGCAGAGGGTCAGCTGGCAACCCTGCACATCTGAGTGTTGACACTTGTGAATCATTCTCTGTCACTGCAGTTTCCAGAGCCTTGCCAAGACAACAGTGGGTTCAGACTCACCAAGATCCAAAAAGCTGGAAAGGTGATAGAGCCATGACCCATGCTTTGGGACCCATCAAACCATGGCAATGCCTATTTCTGTGACACAGACATAAACTGCAAAGTAAAGGCAGCCATATTCTGCCTCAGTGCCATGGTCTTTCCCATGTCTCCAGTGGAATGGCTACACTCTGGAGGTGGGAAGAGGGTGAGAGGAGAGAGAACCAGGCGGCAGACTATCATGGAAGCAGCGATTGAAAACAGCAGCTCTAGATTTCCCTTTCAGTTCTGGAGAGTTATTTACTCATTCACTCCACAAATATTTATTGAACCAGATATTATTTCAGGGATGTAGGCTACAATAATGACAGAGTCATGACTTTGACCCCATGGAGCTAAAAGTTTAGTAGAGGAGACAGGTATTAATCAAATAGGCACACAAATACAAGGGTAAAAATAAGTGCTATGGTGAAGGAGTGCAGTGAACTACAGAGAATGTACCAACAAGGAGCAGCAGATCTGGCTGGGAAAGTCGGGAAACCTTCCCTCAGCAAGTACCAAGTGGGCTGACAGCTCAAGGATAAGCAAGAGTTAACTAGGTCAGGAGGAGAGAAGAGGAGAGGGAAATACTCTTGGCAAAGATAACAGTGTGTGCCAAGGTCCTGGGGTAGGAGTGTGGTGTTGAATTGGCTCAGAATTAGAAACAGATAATAAGGCAGTAGCCCTAAGGTTTGAGGCCCCAGCATGAGGTATCTTCCTGCCTAGACCCTTCAGTTTGCTCTCTAGCTATCTGAAAGGCTCTCCTCAGCATGGAACAAGACTAAAGCATATGTCAAAAACTAGGTGTGCCCAGGAGACAGGAAACACCACCCACTAAAAAAAGAAAAAAAAAAAAAAGTTTACCAATAATACCAGGCCAATATAATACCGCTCACTTCCACTGACAACACTGCATCAGAAAAAATGGCACAGTATAAAAACCTGTAAACTTTTCTGGCAGAGATGCATTTTAATCTAAATTAAGGTATCGATAAGTATGTTGATGGTTATGATAAATCTATTTAAGTACCTAGTATCTTATTGTAATTTTCATATACTAATATTTTAGGGAAAAAATAAGTTAAAGGAAAAATGGTTAAGGATGTTATCACTGCAGCACTATTTAATTTTAGCAGCTGTTAGCCTGTTGGACCACTTGAGGCAGTTTCTTGTGGCTTCTGAATTATCTGTCACCTTGCAAACAAGTCATAGAGTTTTCTATTTGTAAAGCACTTTGCAATGGATCATTAATTCAGCCTCCCAATCCAGCTGATAGATTATACTCATTCAACAGATAAAACAGACAGATAAGTGAGTTTCCCAAGGGCACAAAACAATTCAGCTTTTACTTATCTTTCTTATCGCCCTCTCCAAACAAGGAAGACACACAAGGCATGTCCAGCTCCAGTACCAATTCTGCTAACCCTGCACACCAATCCTAGCCCGTAGCAGCAGAGGAAGGCCTTGTAGTTAGTTCTGTCACCTACTGTAAATCAGCTCCTCTACACCTTCAAGGCCAACAACAATGACTGAACTGTGATAGGGGCATTGGCACTTCAGATCAGAATATGAACTGAAAGGGGAATAAGAGCACCTAGGAAGTCACAGCAGCTTACAGCTTAAAATGTCACCATCCCTAAGGAGACTAACTACACCACCAACACACTCTCCCCCAAGACTTCCTTTCATTCCCAACAAGCAGCCAAGAGAGTGGTCTCCATTGGGCTCCCACAGTACAGTACTGGACAGTAATGTAAGTTATCTGAAATTTACATGCCCTTCATCACCCTCAAGTTGAGACCACCCAGCATCTGAAGCACCTAGCACAGGATTTAGCATACGAATGGTTTACTGAGTGCTCAGCTTCTCACTAGCAAATAAGGAAAGTAGACACTCCTTTTATAGAGTAATGCACTTAAGAGATCAGTTAGGTCAACACTTTATTTTACAGAAGGTCCAAAGAAGGGCAGAGAATCACCCAGTTAGTTATTACATATGGCCTGGTCTCCAATCCAAGTCTTTTGGCTCAGATTAGTTCCACATTTTATACGTGCCTACTCTGTGCCAGACACTGTGGGTGGGAGGTGCTGGGGACAGTGAGATGAGCAGGAGATGGTGTCAGCTTCTGGGAGCTCACAGACGGGGGAGGGAACAGTTACAGAACAGTTGGGCAAGTGCAAGGACAGACGCCTGATTCCTTATCCAGTGTTTTTGTTTTCTCCACACTGTCCACTGGGTGTTCCCCATCTGGAAAAGGACAGCAGTATTTACTTCCTGCAAATAAACTTATAGTGAAGACTGAGGAGGAAATGCAGATGGAAAATGATCAGGTTTATCCTCCAAAGGTATTATGTAAGGTACTGCCATACCGTGTCACTGATTCCAAGGATTCAACAATGTTTCGGATATCAGTTCAACAAAGAGGCTAACAAGAGAGGGATGGGCATAAGTCCAAGGAAAACCTCAAGGGCTGAGAGGAAGTGGAGGAAACAGCTGGGATGGGGGGGAGGGTGTTGGGTCAAGTGAGATGGCCCTTGCGCAGAGGATGCAGGGCAGGCAGAGAGGTGGGAGAAGATGGAACAGAGAGGGGCCACTTGGGATACTAATGAGGGAAAGCAAGCGGAGAGGAATGGGGTTCCCTTGGGGCAGGACAGGGCTGGCGGCCGGGCACCTCAGGCCGTGGCCCGGCGCTTTCATTTGGCGCGGCGGGACCTGGGGCTGAAGGCACTGGGCTCGGGAAGAGGAAGCAGGCTAGCGCCGAGACCGACTGTGTTCCCAGAGAGCCGCTCTCATCCGCAGGGAGGGTCGGGCAGGCGCCCAGCTCCCCCAGCTGCAGCATCACGACCGCCCCGCGTCCCCGGAGCCCAGCACCAGCCCGTGCCCGAGCCGGAGGCGCGGACTCCCAGGGGCGCCGCTGCCGCCGCCGCCGCCGCCTCACCTCGGGTTGAAGTCCTGGAAGAGGCTCCTCAGGTTCATGGCGGAGAACTTCACCGCTGCGTCCTCCCCCCTCCCCCCGCGCCGCGCAGCCTGCGTGTTACAGGGAGTTCATGGCGCCAGAGCCAGAAGTGTCCCCGCCGCCGCCAACCCTGCCTGGAGAAACCTGAGCCACCGCCCACCGCTCCTCCTCCCGGGCTTCCGTACCGCGGTCGCGCATGCGCCCGGAACCCCGCCCTTGGTACCCACGCGGAGGCTGGAGGAGACGGCGGGGAGACTGAGGCTAGAAGAGCCAGGGTTCAGGAGAAGGGAGCGGAGAGCCGTCTGGGGAAGCTGACTGGATGAAGGCCTGAAGGGAGGGAACGCTCCGCCCAGGAGTCCAGCAGTGAGGTGTTTGCAGACACTTGTCTCCTTGGCCCTCTCTGCCTTCTGGATATTTCCCCCATGACAATGAGGACTGAGCCTCGCTGGGGGGGGGGGGGGGGGGGCGGGGGCCAAGAGGCAACGAATGAGATATTGCATTTTAGCGATCTCACCCAAAGAGTCACCTGTCAGATTTGCCAGTTGACTCCAAAGTTTGCTTCTCAACATCCCTCCCAAGCCCCAAGCCAGCACTTCTGGATATGCTGACCATTCTAAACTCAGATTACCCTGTGCCAAAGTTGTCTCCCCTCAAAACTCCTTCACCTCCTGGGTTCTCCTTCTCTGTTATCAGCAGGTCTAGTCACAGGGGATGTCCAAACTGGAGATGTGGAAGTCATCCTCACTTTTCTAACCTACTTCAGAGACTCCTTGGCTCCTGCCTGGGCTTTGTGGGCACCTCACACCTGGCCTCTTCCTCCACTCCAGGCCATTCTATTTATAAGTGCCAAGTTTACCTTCCTTGGGCAAGTCAACATTTTTAAGCCTCAGTTTTTCTCCTCTGCAAAACGGAGATGGTAAAACCTATTGTCCAATTGTGTTGGGAAGATTCAGTAAGATAAGCGTGCATAACACACTGCCGGGAACATGCTAGGTGCTCAAAGAATGCTGTTACTATTTGGTACGCTTTCAGGTGCTGACCTCCTCAAGGATTCTATTTGCTTTGGGAATCCAAATGAAAGGCAAGCTCATGGCAGGTGACCTCGTTTACCGTCTTCACATCAACCGATTTAAGAATTTTTCATGAGCACAGCAATGCCTTAAACATTAGTCTAGTATTATGGATGATAGTCATACTTTGTTGCAATAGTAGAGTTTCACAAATGACAATTTTATACTCATTAGCCCCAAGGGCAGCTTGAGAGGATCACAATTGTGATAGTCATACTTTGCCATGATGTGTCACCTTTCTTTTGAGAACCTAAAAACATTTCACAAGTGGTAATTAGGCTTCCCAACACCCATTGGGGAACTGATACTATTATATGATCTGGTTTTAAGGATGAGTAACCTGAATCACGTTTTCATCTACTGATGCACTAGACCCTGTCCCAGATACTTCAGTCCAGCCTTTCTGCCCTTCCTCCTGGTGAAGTCCAGTGTGTAGCCCTGATGAGGTTGCCAATGAACATTCAAATACAGAAGAGGAACTAAGGCACAAAGAAGCTTGTATAACGGGCTCCACCCATCTAGTAAGGGTGGAGGAGAAGAGATGTAACCCAAGGTCTAGCTGAACCCACAGCCCATACTCTGCTAGAAGGAGGTACTTGCCAGTGGCCAGGTTGGCCAGCAAGTGGCCTTGCTCTGAACAGGAATCAAGAGGGAGATGGCTTGTCAGTTCAGACACTTGAATAACAAGCACCATTGCCCTTTCAAGAGCTTTGTAGACAGAGACAAGACAGGCTGCTCAGAGTCCAGAGTCTTGAGGGCAGATGCTATTTTGTTTGGTAAGGTCCAGGGGAGTCCAGGAGCTGAACCAAGTTCAATTTTAGAAGTTCCCCCAGAGATGACCAGGCTATGGGGAATAGCCTTGCCTAGGTATCAGGACACTAATAAACAAACCAGTTATCAATGTATTTTTTTGCTGTAGCAAGCCAAATTGCCACGGGGAGCGTATAAACCCGTCTGTGAGGACATATGGGAAAAATTGGACTACTCCAAGGCCTCACATCCCCAGTCTTCAAGAGGTAGATTACTGGACTATCTCAACTATGCTAGAGGCCCAGTCTGGTACTCTACTGCTGCTCTCATGGAATCAAAAGCCAGAAATTCCAGATAGCCACCTGGTCCTCTGTCCAGCAAGTACAAAGGACCCTACTGACCACCTTGGACCCCTTGCTCATTGTCTCACCCTGGATGGAGGTCCAAAGCTTCACTGAACTGTGTAGACAAATGACTGACCCTGACATTGAGGAAAGACCCTGAGCCATATGCAGAAACACACTCCCATCCTTTCCTTTAGCAAAGTTTGATTTTGACTTTGTTTATTTTTCCCTTGCCACCAAATTTTAGGGCTTTTTTTTACTTTAGACTCCCAACATTGTTAGTTTTTTTTTTTTTTTTTTTTTTTGGCTGGTCAAATGAAGCAGTGGAAATAGAGAAGAAATTCCCAACGTTCTTCACCCAAAGGCAAGAAATGGCTCTGTATTGAAAAGCGTGACTCCCAAATAAACCAGAAAGCATATTCATGTGGCTGTGGAGCGGGCACATGTAGCAGTGTTCCAGAAGCATCAGTGTATATCTGACCATGGTTTTAAAGACTACATTGGATTTGTGCCACCCTTGTGATAAGTTAGTGGCTTGTTCAATATTCACATTGGCTTCAATGTAATGGCACAGATTGCAGACTTTCAAAGAGCAGGGTCCCGGTGTAGAGAATCACAGTGCATTTAGACACTTTGATGGGCGGACCTGGGACAGGAGAAGGAAGTGGCTGTGGCTCAATTCTCCATACCATCGGGGCTTCTTCCCTGGGCTGTAGCAGTAGAGTGGAGAGAGTGTGGAATTAGTAAATTTGCATTAAACACCAGTGTTCTGGTGGAGGGAGGGCCGCTGGGATCCAATCCTGGGCTTACTAAAGAGCTCCTGAGGGATCATATAAACAAATTTTTTAACCAGGAAACATGGAGGTGCCAGCCCCCAGGGCTGATCCTCTCTCAGTCTGAAATTCCCCACCCTAAGTTCCCTGAAGTCCACACCCTGAATGACACCAATTAGAGAATTGATGGAGACCCTAGGAATTAGTCCACATACAAAATGCAATCTCCCCTTTGCCATCAGGGCCTTAGTTTCTGGCAACTTTAGCTTAACTTGGATAAAAATGTGGGCTTTCTAGTCCTGAGATCTTCCTGGGAGGTGGTTGGGTCTGGAGTCTGGATAGGGGGTTGGTAGAATGCAGAGCTGGATTTGGAGGCTTGGGGAATGGGAGGGGAGCGGGGGATAATAGAAGTGACCATGGAGGTAGTACCTATGGGTCTGCTTGTATTTAACGCTGTCCCCAATCTTATTCCAGAGTCACCTCTTCAGGGCGGCTTCCCTTGGGACTTGCAAAGTGCAGTTGCTGAGAGTCAAGAGGGAGGGAGAACATTCCCCAGGCCCCAGTGGCCCTCCTGTCACCCAGAGTAGCCCTGGGAGGGGGTGGGTTATCATCCTTCATGGAGTAAGCTTAACACTGAAGGAAGCAGAGGTCATTTCCTGTTGGAAGGCACAATCAAGAGGCTGTTCCTAGGCCTACAGAGCCACCATGGTATCCCTGTGCTTCCCCTCTGGACCTCTTCTGACACCAGGGGTTCCAGAAAGGCTTCCCAAGTAGAGAGGGAGGCTCCTGGGCCCCTTCCTCCAGTGAGCTGTGCCTGCAAAGCCTAAGCCAAGTGTGTGTGGTCAGGTGCATGGGGCAGACAGGAAGGACCATGCTTGCCAGAGGTCACCAACCAGCTGCCCACACAGTTGTCTTTTCTCTTTGTCCCTGTCCTGTTCTCATTCCTGAGTCTCCACTCACTGCTTGTCTCTCCTCCTTTGTGTTTCCACATTGGCTTTCGGGCACATTTCTCTGGGGTCCTCTGATCTAGCTAAGCAGATGACCTCCCTCTGCCCACCCTTCCCCTGGTGCATCTTTTCGGCTGTGGCAGCCCGTACCCATCACTCCTTCAGTTTCCTTCATCCATCACTTGTCTTCTGGAGTGTCTGCTTTGTGCCAGGCACACAGAAGGCACTGGGAGCACACAGATATGAATAATCAAAACATAGTGTTGTGCATGACAAGCTTACGTGATGTGGGAACCCCCGAGCTGAATCTGAAAGGGTAAATAAGATTTCAGGCTTGGAAGAGAGGAAAGGAGATTCCAGGCAGAGGGAATAATACTTGGAAAGGTACAGAAGGCAGTGAGTGGAGGCAGATAAACCTTTTGGGAGAACAATGTTGTCCACAGCCACACTCAGCTTCCCTTCCCTCTATGGGGCAGAGGATGAGGCCTTTTGCCTAGACTGAGCAGCACTTTGCACAATGGCAGCCACATGGCCAGTGTCTGTTGGCAGAGCCCCAGACTCCAGCTGTGGGCCTGAACAGCTCCCATACAGCTCTGAGGAAGTTCTCTGTAGGCTTTTGGAAGAACCCTCCTCTCAGACAGGCCCTATAGTCTGGGTTCTGAGAGCTTGTCACAAAATTGTTTTCCCTAGACTGATTCCTGGACTAAGATAAGACTCAACCAAGGCTGTGCTAGATTCTATTTGCAAACACAAGCACACAGAGCCATTTGTGGCACAGGTAGATTGCTTTGTTACAGTCATCATTCTATACTGGGATCCTGCCATTTACTACAATGACTTTTTTCTCCAGCCCCATCACCCACTCCTCTCTGCCTTGCCCTGGCCTACATGTAGTCATGCATGAGCTCTCCTGGGTCTCTGTGCTTTGGGGACTCAGCTCAGGAATCCCATGATGCTTCCTGCTACCTCCCTGTGCCCCTGGAGCCTTGGTATACAGTAGGTTCTCAGGGAGTGCTTGTGAAATGAATACTGATGTTGGACAGTCACAAGGGCCCTACAAACAAGCAGTTCTCCCTCCTCCCCTGCCTCAAAGTGGGTATCCCACATCTGCTGGAACAATGACTTTTTTCTTCCTAAGTTTCTAATAGTTGCAGGCATTATCTCTGGACACATACACTCCCATTTTCCTACCAGACTTCTTCAAGTGATTAACATGCTGAGATTTTTTGAGTCTTATTATAGAACAACTTATACCATGCTTGCATAGTTCTAAGATGTGAGATGAACCATCTCTTTCATAA